CAAAATTTAAAGGGAACAATTATTTATTTCCGTGGATTATTAAGAACAATCAAACAACGCACAACATACACAACATGAGGGTGAACGATGGAATAGAGTCGCTTATATATCTTTCTATCGCCGCTGTCGTCACCGTCGCCAATTTTTGAAACACTAACTTTTTTCCTAATTAGCCTTTTGTACTGGCGCTGATCCCGTCGCCAATTTTTGAAACATCAAAATATTTCACTTTCTGCTTTAGCAGATCCGCAAGTCAATGCAGAAATTCGCGTTTGTCTAATAATCGTCCGCAGCGTATGATAAAAACAACTTATTCAAAATCAACCACAACACAATAAATATCATTGAAATAAAATACATCTAAAACCAATCTGTCAACTTCCCAATAACACTCCTACGAAAAATGCTTAATTTCCCGAGCGAATTCTTTTTTGGCTGTATTTATTGGCTTCGTTCTCGGCCTGTTGCTCAATGTCATAATTTATAATAACCAATTCCACAACATGGGACTATTAACCAAGACCATGAAGTCCAGAAAGTTGTCAAAAATGAAACCATCGGCGAACAAATTTTATCCGCCAGATATCGAAACGTTATGAGACAATTATACGCTAAAAGGAACCGAATCGGATCCAAAATTTTCGTTTAAGAAAATGGCATTTGAAATCCATAAGTTACTTGGTGAAGAAAAGGTCGTTGCTGCTTCCACAATACGAAACTTTTACTTACGGAGAACGAAGAAAACCATCAAGGCAATTCAACTTTGGATTGACGAAGAGAAGAAGAAAATTATAGATTACTGGATTATGAAGATGACAAAAATAAATAGATAATAATAATGATAGTAATAAGAGATGACATTAATTAAAGTAAAAAAGTAATTTAAATATTGGCAAATTTATTAAGTATTTTTCTTTATTTAGATACTTCCAGAGAGTTTGGTATTGGGTATTATTGATTTTAAAAACATAAGGAGCGATTTTTTCTCCTTGAGCTTTTTTTAAGATGCTTCCAATCATGCTGTAATTCATTGGTTCTATGGTCGATTTGATGTAAAGTAGTTTCATATTTATATTTATATATGGAATAATCATTGCAAAACTCGTTTCAACTATTGAATGATTGTGCACACAATTAAGCAATTCTCGAAATTCAGAAGCTAAACAATTATTATTATTTACAAGCACTAACTTTATAACATCAACCCTCATTTTTAAACAGTAAACAGTATATCCCAGTCGGAACCACTAATCGACACAGGCTTATCATTATTGGTATAGTTTATAATATCCTTCCACCCATCATAATCAATGATCACATTACCCGGAGTCAGCTTTCCAAAATATCCATGCATCGCGACTTCGGTGCAGAGATTAACCATAAACATCTGGCATCCATGGAGTTTTCCGTATCTTTCGGGTGTGTCAAAGATTTCTTGCTGCAACGAGTGGCGTTGCTTTATCTGTCAAAAGGCAGCGTTCTTCAAGATCACTCTAATTGTGAATTACCGGAGTCAGTTGACGTTCAGGGAGATAGTAAAATTTCGCGCGGTCAGATGCTGGGGACATAATCTGAAGGTCGTTACGTGGTGGTAGATCAACCGACCCTCGGAGAGCGCTGTCTACTGATCATACCATCTCTTCGACAATGCACTAGAGTGATTATCGCCACGCAACTATCCGGGGATGGAACCCATCCGGTGATATCGAACATGTAATCGAAACACATCAAATACATCCCCCACAGACTATCCAGGCCGTTACGTGGTGATACCGAGGCGGACCATTCATACGAGAATGCAGTCTACTGGTCGAATCATCTCAACGAGGTGTTGTTAATCACCAACATCGCCACGCAACCATTCGGAGACGGAAACCTAAGTTTGTCTGGGATATGCCGGCTGTTTCCAGTCCGGAACACTGGTAGTCTGTGGACGCACTACGTAAAGTGGATAAATAATGGAGAACTTATCTTTTTAGGACCCAAGTCCGAGAAAACAGGGAAGGCTTAAAGCGGAATAGTTTCACTGAACATTTTTACAATTTATTATTTTTTCTTAATTTTTTACGTTACACTTGATCCTGCGATGTTATTGGATTAAATCGCGTGAAAACTACTCGAAACATCATTTCGAACATTCTCTTACGATGCTAGCTATCATCTCGACGACCTCAAACCGGAGGACTTTTATAAAGAGTTCGACTACTCATACAATGTAAGAAAACAAGCTGAAGAGAAATTGCAAGAGTTGCTCAGTACGATCAAAGAAGATAAATCATACAAAGACTGTCGATGGTCAATGGCATGACCAACGGGATGGGACCAGTAAAGTGTGGTTATAAATTAGATAGCTACGAAGCGATATTCTAGCAACGAAAAATTGTCATATACAAGAGAAGAATTGGTAGCCAAAGACTTACTGTTAATGAATTAATAGAGAGAGCGCGGGATATGTATTGGAGGATAGAGGGGAGTGGATAGATAGTTTCATTGAAAACTTAGAAAGATCTTTAAACCCGATTTTGAGGAAATAGAGCATTTATTATTATTTTTAACAAGAGAACAGTTCTGTAGGGGCTTCGCCCCTTTTATTCTAGAACTCAAATTTTAACAATGGCCTGTCTCTTGTAGATTACTGCAATGGTTAGATGGATTGGAGAGTTTGGTTGTTGGAATGGATGGTATCTTAATTTACGAGATCGGAATTATAAAATCAAATTCGGCATTCTGTTTCAACCTTGTATAATTATATCAAGTTTGTGTCTGCCATGCGGGATGTGCTACTCTATATACGTGTATAATATAAGTCATAATCTTAAATAATATCACAGTGATTATATCTACAGTGTTTTGCATTCCAATGTTGCGAGTATAACTAAATAATCACACAACATAATGAAAGAAGTTATTTAATAATCTATCCTTTCCTCGAACGCAGACTTATTGACGTTTTCAGATGTCTTCTTACATGCATGTTAACATCGCTAACAATAATTATGTTATTGCACGGAATGTGGAATTAACATTTCATGCGTGTGTGCTCTTTATGGGCAGATTAGAGTTGATATTAATTATTAAAATATAAATGTATACACTGCTGATTATGATTGGAAAAGAAGTGAGACATAACGCAAAATACTGTAATATATTGACATAGTGTGTAACATCTCCATTAAACCCCTCATATATACGAACTAAGCTTTAACGCTTATAAAAACGTCTAATGTACCCACGAAATAGAAGTATTATGAAAAGGTCCCGTGCCACCAAAAGACCCGTCGTTCCTGGAGTGCCCGCGAAAAAACTAATGATAGTTCGTTATTTTGAACGTGTTCAAAATGTGAGAGCAACCGCAAAACATTTTGACATCGAGCCCAAACAAGTCCGTACTGGCGGAATAACCAATCCAATTGTTTATGTAAATAAATTTTATCTCATACAATGGACTTAACATATGAATGTATTGATCATAATGGTAAATTGCATCATAACATTATGCTAAGCACTTTTTCATATCAATACTAAAAGGCAAAAAATATTGATATTATATTAGTACATCTCATGGAGGAGGGTACACAAGTTGGAGATTTATGATATATTAGTATCCGGGAATAAATCAAAAACTGCCCTCTGAAACTAGTGGATAGTCTCACAGAATTTGAAAGCAAGTTTTGTGCAGTGATAAGTATGTGCAGAATACAGAAAACGTAGTGGAAGATACACTATTTCTTATGGAAGAAAGTTCAGATAAGTCTTGGCTGTTTATGGCATGACAAACAAAGTAGTTGATGATAACATACTGAATGTAATATCTTTATATTTATTTTGTACAGCTACTTATGACTTAGTTCATTGCACTCATTCATCATTAATATTGATGATATTGGACAAACTTGATCGACTACTTATCATTTAGATGCTGAGTCGGAGAACCAAGTATCTTTCTATTCAGCCCATCGCATCATTGCGTCCGTTTCGTAATGAAACTTCAACCTATCAATGATGGTTTGCAATGACTCTCCATTCATGATGTTTTCCAATTCATAGAGAGTAAGATTAATTCTATGGTCTGTCACTCGGTTCTATAATAATTTTGATGCGGAGTAAGAACTTCGCTCAATCAATAACGTTCGAGACGCACATTACATGATAATAAATATACCTGTGGAAAATTATACGTCCTAATTTTCTCTGATCTATCGCCGCTTCCAACCTAACAGTCAAGACGATAAGTATTCTCGCTACACTTTGGTACTAGTCCCAGGCATACCAATCTTACCTGCATGCGCCTAGAGTCACGTCTCTCATTCTCGATAAGTGTGCGGTTAGCTTCGTACAATTTCGCCCTCATGATTTTAAACGCTTTAGCTTTATTCTATTTCAAAAAGATACGCCCGAAAAAAATAACAAAAGACAATTTAATATCGGACCGGTTGTGTGAATGACATTCATCAATAACTAGTCATTGAACAATGTCGTTACTAGTCAGATCTTGTTACGGGCTTGTTACAGCAGACCTTATATTGGGATCTTTCGTCTTGTATTGAGACGACTATGCCCGTGGAAACGTGCGTCAATCGGACTGCGCTATCCGTTGTGTTCACGTGTTGCCCTCCTTTACCGCTTGAACGGTAGTAGTCGATTCGAAAGTCTGATTCTTTCAAAACGAGTTCAACCTGGAGTCAATGGCGGTTGTTTGGCATATGGGAAACGGATGATTTTCAGAATAATTATAGTGAGATTGTCTGCTTATAAACGAATCGGGTTGACTTTCACCTCGGTTGGTTGGGGAAGTATGGCAACGGTAACTGTACTGGTATGAACCCGTCCTTGACCTTCTGTCACCGGTACCCGTTGAACTCGATGAACTCCAGCTTCATACTTCATATTTCCGAATACATCGTCTCCTGATATTGATGCCGTTGCTTCCTTGATAAACACGCAAAAACATTGTTAATTTCAGGAGAATCGTAAAACCTGTGATATCCATAAACTTCTCCTATAATCATGTTAGGAATTGAGTAACATTCAATCAAATACACACATAATATGGCACTTTGCTTCCCTGTCAACAATTATAGAAGATAACATACATAGCCGCCAACAGAACGTTATCATTTAGTCATCATATGTGTGTTTGGATAATACTCTGCATTCTCGGCCTGCGATTGCATTATTAAAATTTTCGTAGAGTGATATCCGATTGAATGTTACTCAACGATATTCTAAATTGGAGAAAGTTCGAGATAATTGTGTAGGTCAAGCTTAAACTATAAACAATTCAATCAATGCGAACCTTCTTTTACCTATCATACCTACCTTGATGACACCAAGAATATCACCGGAGATGTTAAGTGATTCAAATTTCCAATTTCGCACATTTGAATATCGCTCATACATTCGAAACATCTCTCCAGCAAAAAGACCAGCCTCATCGCCTCCAGTACCTAGGATAAGTTGAATAAGCACATGATAAATGGCGTAAGTTCAGAAACGAAAAAATCTACTACCCATCGTAAATAATTCGCACTTTTGATTATATTTTTATTTCTACATCTGTATCTTGAGTTGGAGAGCGCATGCCACCGTCGCATATATTTAAAGTATATAATCATACTCACACAATAGAAAATATAAACAGAGTAAAAGCGTAGATTTTGTCAAGTACCTGCCCTGATTTCTAAAATTGCACTTCCAGAATCAGCAATGTCTTTGGGAACTAATGATTGAACAAGTGTTTTTTCTATGTCCTCGACAATCTGCGAAATCCGTGTACGTTCTTCCTTTGCAAGCTCCTTCAAATCTTGATCTTCATGCGCGTCATTCATCATTAGGTCTACATCTTCTAATTCCTGGTAAAAGCAACGCATGAGGCATATTAACAAAAACAAAGAATGCATATGTATGTAATCGCGTATCATTGTAAAGCACCTTTTCTGCTTTCTTTAATTCTTCATACGGTAAAACGATATTCTCCAGTTCTGTCAATTCCTTTGATACTTTGGCATACTCGGTTAAATCTGGTGAAAGCTGAATGAACGCAAATATCGACCAAATTCTAATTAAGAGTGGTGACGACTATTTCTTAACCATATCTCGTCGGCTACAAACCTCATTCCGTTTTTCCGACAATTGTTTATACTTTTCGATCAGTTTATCCAATTTCAGACGGATAGTCGGGATATTCACTACGCCTCTCGAGTCTATACTGATCGAGTCATGTGTCTTATTGGAGAATAGAAAAATGCTACCAGAATCCGGATAGAATTTTCTTCTTACCTGTGAGATACGAACAATAATGGACGCTGGATGGATGAAAGGGCTGCTTCGTCAATGTTGAAACCAAGGAGTAACTAGTGGGTGACTGGACTAAAAAATGACGAAAAAATGTTGATGAACGGAACATTTTTTCGGATAATCAGTAGATCAATTGTCTATATTCGTGACGCAATAGTCAAAATGCATTTGCTTTTCGCGTGAATTGACTTGGAACAAGAAAATTTTAATGCTCGTAATTAACGTTCACCTCGTTGTTTAGCGGATTTATAATCAGTTTTAATATTAACGATTCTCACTTTTAACGTAAATGAGTGGTGACATTCTTATTATATGGGCATGCTACATGAGAACACTAATATAGATGTTTTGGGAAGCGCACAACTTAAACTGTCATTGGCAAATGTAACTACCTTAATAACATAAATTTGTAGATCAATTCTACAGTAATAGTAACTGTAAATATAAAATCTCAACACAGTAATTATTACTATTTTCAAAATCTGCTTACTCATTTTTCAATGAAATGACTGGGAAGACAGTATGTATTAGTTTCCGTAAATTTGGACCGCAAGTTTGACAAACACCTAACATAATAGTCAATTTTGTAGATTTTACTGAACTGTTCAATTTTATGATATTAATATGGGGCAGACTACAACAAAATCAGACAAGTGAACATTCTGTTATGTACATAAATGTGAGGCTGATTGTGATGTGGCTGTAAAATACTTGTTGATCGGAATGGGTGAACGTTTTACGCTCAATCGTAGCTGTAATGAGCAGTAGCGTCAATGATACAATAATCAGCTTTGCCTCTCACCGTAAAATGCTCATTTACGAATTCTCTTTGTCCTTCTTCTAATTTCTTATTTTTGTTATAATAATTTCTCTCTAAACTAGCTTTAGCTAGATGTTCTTTGAATTTTTTAATAAATCATTTGCTTCTTCTTCCTTGCGAACGTTATATTCCGAAAATGTTGTCACGTGTCTCATAAATCCGTTCTTGGACTCGTAATTTGAATACAAGGCGTTAATTGGTGCAACTTGCGAAATGCGTCATATTTTAACAATTTTAACGTGCTATCGTTTTCGAGACCCGCAATAAAATCACGCTAAACCGATTTGTAACTCGATTCAGCCGGCAAGAGTGTTTGAGTAATTCGGTTAACATTTGTGCTGGTAATCCATGTAGTTCAATGCTCGCAGGAGTCATCATTATGGAGAACGCAGAGTATTGTCCAAACACACAGATATATGAGGCGTTAAATCAGGCACTCAAGGACTAAAGAATGACGTTCTGTTGACAGCTATGTTAATGTATGTTATTTTCGATCATTGTTGATAGGGAAGCAACAGCTCCATATTATATGTACATCTGGTTGAATGATCTTCGCATGTAAACGACTCTCTCAAAATTAAACAACGTTTATCAAGGAACGCATCAGGCGGCGTTGTATTTAGGAATATGAAATATGAGGCTGGAGTTCATAAGTACCGGTGACCGAAGGCCAGGGACGCCGTCCAAGTAAAGGAGGGAAAAACGCGGGATAGCGCAATCCTGTCGTAATAAGATCTGACTAGTAATGATGTCGTTCAATGATCAGTTATTTGAACAATGGAGTCTGGTATTAAAATATCTTTTGTTAATCTTTTTTCCGGGAGGATATAGAATAAAGCTAATACATTTAAAACCATGAGGGCGAAATTGCGACTCAGGTATGATATGATTGTATGCCTGGGACTGTGTAGTGAGAATATTTATTGTTTTACTGTTAGGTTTGGAGAATTAGGACCTATAATTTTACACAGATATATTTATTGACTGAACAAAATTACTGCAAAACCAAGAGGCAGACCATAGAATCAATCTTATTCTTCATGATTTTGAAAACAAGAGTCATTGTAAACCATCATTGATAGGTTAAAGTTTCATTACGAAACGGACACAATATGCGATAGGCTGAATAGAGAGATTAGATGACTTAATCGCGAAGAATGCTACTGGTTCTTCGACTCAGCATCTAAATGATAAAGACAATAAAGTTTGTTAAATATTATTCGACCTTTATGTTAATGCATACATATCCTCTGAATTCGTCATTCTCGTGTCCCACACACAACATAACATTGTTGATGTAGCATTAAATCGTGTATAACAATTAACCGCAGATGACCGAATGCAGGGGGAGGAAACCAAAAAATGTAGCACCGGCATTATCGCAAGTTCCTAATATTGTGTCTATATCAAGCCGCTAATTGGTGGCATTCATTTGTTTGTCATTGCGCATTCTGTCATAACTATGCAATTGACGTATCTTCTGGTTAGTAAAGAGTGGAATATATCTTAATTTAGAAAAATTTATTCATTTCAGTAAACTCTTTGAAGGTTTTTTTTTGTTTCTCTTCTACAGCTCCTATTTCTGCATTTCCCTATACCGACAAACTAATATCAATTCAGTAACTGAACCGTCGATTGTTTCACCATTCCATGCATTGGTGATAATGCTGATGTGAAGCTGATATTAGGCGGGCGAACTAGTTTCAAAAAGGTCAAATATAACGAACAAATTTATCATAAAAGTCAAAGACTTATGCAAACTCTCGTAACTGAATACTGCTTGTATAAATTGGGATAAAGAAATGATGATGGGCAGTTTCATGTAATTGCATCCCTTAATTTGCTTGCCAAGCCTGCATGTTCTCCTTTCAGAACAGCTAGACTGATCTGTTGACATTTAGATATACACTAATGATGCTAGCATCCCAAATCGCGTTAAGGACGACTTTAGTACAACCACTAAGATCGCCATTAACGAATAGGCGCAATAATATTAATATTATAATTTAAGAATAAAAGAAAACCAAGTCAAATATGCTTGAACGCCTATTCGTACTAGTCAATAAACTCTGCGGTCTAAATCTTGTTACTATTATCATTACTATAACTATTACTGTTGTTATAGAGTTTACATGTAACTGATGCACAAGGGAGATGTGTCTACGAAAAACAGCAAATTTGCGACGTAAATAAAGTTTCTTGAGAAAAAACATTTCGAATCTGACAGATTCTAAATTAAATAAAACAACCAAATTCTGTTTATATAATTTTGACCCACTGACTGTTAACAATAACACCTGAACATGCTTTGTCGACTTGCGATTTGTGTTCCTGGGAATTTACATATTCGTGGGAATAGCTAACAACGCCAAAAGCCGTACTTGCATTTGTGTAAAGGAGTAGACCCTGTCACCAAACTAAATATACCGAAACACAGATCTCACTCGGGTGTATAAAATGTAGACGCATCACCGTTGAATCGTTATAGTCAAAATGCTTGCTGAATCGTTTTCTCAGGTATGTGACGACTGGGAGCACTATCTACAATGTAAATATGTACCAGTCAACCCAGTCGAGTCATTCAGAACATACGACGTTGCTAAGCCGAGTGTGGTTAAACTATACAAAGAACAACACGAAAATCAAACTGTAGATTTTGTTCTTAAAAGTCGAAAAAAGTTTAGCCAACTGGACAAAGCCCATATGGGAATATGGGAAGCATTAGAGATGTTGAATGAGCTCACGGACGAATCTGACAACGATACCGAGTTGTCGCAAATTGAACATTGTCTGCAGACAGCCGAGGCATTAAGAAAAGATGGATTTGATGATTGGATGGTATTGACTGGTAATGATTGTTGGAGAGCACTGGAATAGAATAAGACGGAGAACTTGACTGCATGTAGTGTAGAATATCGAACTGGGGCTAAAGTTAGTATGGGAACAGACCGGGGATGATTATTAATTACATAACCTACATCAACAAAACTCTAAATCCAAGCTTTCCTTTCTGCATATGGTTCGTAGGGCTCATTCATGATCTAGGCAAATTACTGTATTATTTTGGTGCTGAAGGACAATGGGATGTCGTTGGGGGTAAGTAAGGGCTCCTGAGTGGTTTTCACATGACAGATCGTGTAACTATCTTGTGTTAAAAGTAATAATGTAAAAACAAACAAAAGATACATTTCCAGTCGGATGTCGGTTTTCAGAGAAAATTGTTTATCCAGAGTTTTTCAAATCAAATCCCGATTATAACAATCCCGCATACAATACCCTTTGCGGAATCTATGAACCAAACTGCGGATTGGATAATGTTTTCATGTCATTCGGACATGACGAATATATGTACATGGTAGCAGAGGTATTTTCAACGTCGTTGTTTACAAAATCGTTGGTTTCATCATCATAAAGCTATATGCTGAAACAATGCTTTCATATGGTACTTTGCACATATAGAACTATTTGCCAGAAGAAGCATTATACATAATTCGCTACCATAGTTTCTATGGACAGCATCGTGAGAACGCATACACACACCTAATGAACGAGCGAGATCATGAAATGATGAAATGGGTGAAAATCTTTAATTCCTACGATTTGTATTCGAAGAGCGATGCGCCACCGAATATACCAGAATTGAAGCCTTATTATCAAGCTCTGATCCGCAAATTCTTTCCAGACGAAATTAATTGGTAGGAAAAACATTTAATCATCACACGGTCATTAATAAAACTTTAATAGAAGCACAATCCTATGTTTGATTGCTATTCTATTTATGTTACACGACCCCTCACTCCGACGTATATCTGCAATAATAGTAATAATAATAATAATAGCATCTCCTTATTATTATAAAACAGTATTGCACAATAAACTAATAACGAATGAATGTCTACAAATAATTTACCTCGTAAGCGTTACGAATTAATCGAGAAAAATTCATGCGAGTTATCAGGCATATAAACAGTCATACGAAGATATTACGAGACTGCTTTTAATCGATTTACACAAAAATGATAATTTGTTTAAACAGACTAAGTGAATGGTTGACAAAAAAGATGGATCTATTATTGGTAACTATAAAAAGAGTTAGCCCCTATTACTATCTTCTGGAAAATAAAATAGAGAATCGCATCCAGGAGACATGTATGACAGAAGGCGTTCCAATAATTTCTCTTCAAACGGTTTAACGTTCTTTTTTGTTTCTCATTAGCAACATTAAACTCGATCAGCATCAGTTTAATAGGAACTTTACCGAAAGAGAACACAAGATCTTGAACAAAAGTAGTTAGCCAATTAGTTAAGTTTTCCGATACTACCTACCCAATCATTTGACTGGTCGCTAAACAAAAGATGAAGTAGTGGAACAAATAATTACATGCATTAACGAATGCGAATCTATGATTAAAAGTGGGCATCAACTGAGCCTCCTTGTGCGCATACATACGTAATACTGAAATATTGGCAATATTTTGGCACATTGTAATAATAATAAGTCTGTTTTCAGCATTAACAGACTGACCAATAACATGTCAGATTTTGATTGGAGTTCTTCTATTTGTTCTTCTCTTTTTTTATTTTTTCTTGTTTTTTTTTTCTTGATGCTATCTGTTATTCAAAATACAC